GAATTGGTGAAAAGCAAGGATCCAGAATTGATGAATACCCACTGAGATGTTTCAACAAACAGATGCAATGCTGGAAGCACTCACTCATTTATGCCAAGAAATTTGGAAGACAGCTACTTGGCCAACCCACTGGAAGAAATCCATATTTGTGCCCATTCCAAAGAGTGATCCCATAGAATGTAGAAATTATTGAACATCATTAATACCATACCCAAGGAAAATTTTGCTGAGATAATTCAAAAATGGTTGTAGCAGTATATTGACAGGGAGTTGCCAGAAATTCAAACCAGATTCAGAAGAGGACATGGAATGAGGAAATCATTGTTGATGTCAGATGGATTTTGGCTGAAAGCAAAGAGTACCAGAAAGTTTTTTTTTTTTTTTTTTTTACCTGTTTTAATGACTATGCAAAGGCATTGAACTATGTGGATCATACAAATTATGGATAACATTGGGAAAAGTGGGAACTCCAGAACACTTAATTGTGCTGTGAGGAACGTGTACATAGAACAAGAGGCTGTCGTTCCAACAGAGCAAGGAGATATAGCGTGGTTAAAATCAGGAAAGGTGTACATCAGGATTGTATCCTTTCACAATGCTTAATTTGTATGCTGAGCAAATAATCTGAGAAACTGGGCTATATGAAGAACAAGGCATCAGGATTGGAAGAAGACTTCTTTAACAACCTGTGATATGCAGATGACACAATCTTGCTTGCTGAGAATGAGGAGGCCCTAAACACAGGAGCTCTGGTGGCATAGTGCCTAAGGCACTTGACTGCTAACCAGAAGGCTGGAGGTTCAAACCCACCAGCCGCTCCTCATAAGGAAGGTTGGGCAATCTACTTCTGGAGTGATGCTGCCTTGGAAATCCAAGGAGGGGTCACTATGAGTCAGGTCCAACTCGACGGCACATAACAACAACAACAAAGCATTTGCTGATGAAGATCAAAGACTCCAACCTTCCATATGGATTACACCTCAACAAAAAGAAAACAAAAATCCTCACAACTGGACCAATAAACAACACCACAACAAATGGAGAAAAAATTGAAGTCAGGGATTTCATTTTACTTGAATCCACAATCAATGCTCATGGAAGTAGCAGTCAACAAATCAGGTCAAGTATTGCACTGGGCAAATCTGCTGCAAAAGATTTCTTTAAAGTGTGAAAGAGCAAAGATGTTACTTTGGAGACTAAGATGTGTCTGACCCAGGCCATGGTACTTTCAATAGCCTCATATGCATGTGAAAGCTGGACAATGAATCAGGAAGGCTGAAGAACTGATGTATTTGAAGTGTGATGTTGGCGAAGAATGTTGAAAATACCATGGGCTGTCAGAAGACTGAACAAATCTATCTTGGAAGAGAAGCTCTGGTGGTACACTGGTGAAGATATTTGGCTCCTAACCAAAAGGTTAGGAGCTCTGGTAGCATAGTGCCTAAGGCACTTGACTGCTAACCAGAAGGCTGGAGGTTCAAATCCACCAGTCACTCCTCAGAAGGAAGATGGGGCAATCTACTTCCGTAGTGATACTGCCTCGGAAAGCCAAGGAGGGGTCGCTAAGAGTCGGGTCCGACTCGACAGCACATAACAATAATAACCATAAGGTTAGTGTTTGAACCCATTAGCTGCTCTGTGGAAAAAAGATGAGGCAACCTGTTTTTTGATTTAAAGATTTACAGCCTTGGAAACCCAACAAGAGTGGCTATGAATTAGAATTGATTGGATGGCAGCGAGTTTGGTTACAGCCGGAATGCTCCTTAGAAGTGAGAATGGCCAGATTTTGTATCATATACTTTGGTCATGTTGTCAGAAGGGACCAGTTCTTGGAGGATATTATGGTTGATAAAGGGTCAGTGAAAAAGGGGAAGACCCTCAGTGAGAGGGGCTGACACAGTGGCTGCAATGATGGTCTCAAGCACAGCAAAGACTGAGGGTGGCACAGATCGGGCAGTGCTTTGCTCTGTAGTACACAGCATTGCTACGAGTCGGAACCAACTTGATGGCACCTAACAGACCACCAGGCATTTCTTCCAAGGCACCTCTGGGTGATTATGAACAAGCTTCTGGTTAGTAGCTGTTCTGGTTCCCTAGTGCAGCTCTGACAAGAATATACCACAAATGGGATGGCCTTAACAAACAGGAGTTTATTCTTACAATTTGGAGGCTTTAAGTCCAAGTTCAAAGTGCCAGGTTCTAGGGGCTGGGTGAAAGCCCCTCAACCTTGGGGTCCAGCTCTGCCCCCTGCTCCTGGCCCATTGGAGCTAGAGGCTTTTCTTCACTCAGCTGGGGCTGCTGAGACTGACAAACCCAAGGTTGACAAGTGAAAAGGCACAGTCCCGATGTTACCAAACACATGGCAGGCCATTAATTTAAGTCCATTTAAGTCCCAAGGTCGGCAGAGCATAGCAGGCTGCTCAACAAAGACACAGCTACAATGCAGGGTCCAAGCATGCCATAAGCTAGAGACCATTCCCAAGGCTTCTTATATATGGGAAGCAGACCACATCCCAAAGGCAGCTACTCAGCTGCTTGTGGTAGATTCCACCATGGAGTTGATTGCCAGTCTCATCATGGGGAACAACTACCACCAGCTGCCCAGCCACTCAACCAGGCCCAGCCAAGTTGACACACAACATAATCACCACAGTAGCTGAGCATATAATCATTTACACCACTCAGGGACTCTGACATTTAAACAAAATCAAGGCATCTGACTTGAACCTTCTCTAAGTCTTAATTTCTTTGATGATGATATCAACTAAGGGAAACTAGAGGGAGAGAGGTCAGATGGAGGGGAAGATGTAGGAAGAGGAAAGAGCAAGGAAGAGAGTCAGGCTTATGGCACTAGCTGGTCTGACCCAATCTCTTTATTTTCTATAGATGTGGCAAACTGAGGCCCAGAGAAGGGATGCATGTAACTTTCTTGAGAAAAACAAAAGCAAGAAGAACAGATCTCAGACTCAGTGGTCATGATGATTTCCAGTTCACTGATCTCAAGCTCTGCCCATTAGAAGTGACCCACAGTCAATGACATGAGACAAAGTATATGTGAACTGCTGTATGGAAAGTGAATTTGCTCTGTAAATCTTCACCCAAATCACAATTAAAAAAAAAAAAAAAAAAAAGAAATGACCCACAGGCCAAAGGGAGAAATTAAAGTCCAGGCAGAAGAAAGCCACATACATACTACTCCTGTGGTAGTTAAGTTTGTGTGTCAACTTGGGTGGGCCTGGTTGAGTGGCTGGGCAGCTGGATGTAGTATTCCCCACCATGAGACTGGTAATCAACTCCATGGTGAAATCTACTGTAAGCCTTAGGAATATGGTCTGCTTCCTGTATATAAGGAGAAGGCTTGGGAAACAGTCTCTAACTTATGGCATGCTTGAACCCCGCATGTAGCCATGTCCTTGTTCAGCAGCTTGACATGCTCTGCCGACCTTGGGACTTTCAATGGACTTGAATTAATGGCCTGCCATATGGTTTGGTAACATTGGGACTGTGCCTTTTTACCTGTAAACCTTAGGCTTGTCAGTCTCAGCAGCCAGCAGCTGTCTAAGTGAAGAAAAGCCTCTAGCTTCATTGGGTCAGGAGCAGGAGGCAGAGCTGCTTTCACCCAGCCCCTGGAGCCTGCCACTTCGAACTTGGACTTAAAGCCTCCAAACTGTAGGAGAATAAACTGTTTGTGCAAGCCATCCCATTTGTGGTATATTCTTGTCAGGGTGGCACTAGGTAACCAGAACAACTCTCATCAAGCTCCATAACTTCTTGGCCTTGGGCAATAATCTTTCTGATCCTAAATTTCTTCAACTCTAAAATGAAGATGATGAGGGGTCCTCTGGTGGGGCTATTGTGGGGGTTAGGAAGCAACAGGGCAGGTGTTTATTTTAATGACATAGTTATTTCACTGCTCTTGGGGAGCATGGGTGGCTGGAGAGACATTACTGAAAGCAGCAGTATAAAGAGGAACTGACACCCTCTCCATCCCCAACCTGCCTGGACAGGTCTCCAGTGGCATAACTGTTTTGAGTGGGCCCACTGCTCTGTCCAGGCACCCCGACCTCAGCTTGGTGAGCTTGATGTATTCACCTTACCTCTTACCTTCTTGGGGGTATCCACGTCCAGAGTTCCAGCCACAAGTCAGGGGGCCCCAAGCATTAACACTGCTTACACAAAGCTGTACGTCATGAGGAGCAGCAAGTGAAGCTGTGTCAGGTGTGTGCTCTGGACAAGCCATTCTACACCTTGCAATGTGGGCAGGCAGGAGACCTTCCTAAGCCCAACAAGGGCTGGCCTGGTTGCCACTTGGTTCGTCTTCAGGCCAGTGCCCAGATCTATGCCCAAAAAGCAATCCAAGGGCTGAAGAGACCCAACCATTCCTATGGCCTCCTCATTGCATGTGGAGTCTGAAAAACCTCCTGGAAGCCTGGACCCCTCCCGTTACCTCATTCCTGGCCTCCCCATCCCAAACTGAGAACTCTACAGCCAGAGGAACTTGTTCCTGGTTGAAATCTGAGGCAGAACTACAATCTGGGGAAAGCCCAAAGTTTGAGAAGAAAACAGAGGGTAGCAAAGACTTGAAACCCAATTGTGCCTTTCCTTGTAGCAAGAGGGAGCTACAGACATATAACTCTATCTACCCCTAGCCTCTGAAGTTCAGGTGGCCTGTCCCCCCTACCTGGTCCATACAGAGGTTTGAGTGCAGGCCCAGTTACCCTCCCCACCTCCCACTCCCAAGAGGCAGCCTAGCCTCAGTCCTGCCCAAGCCCTGGGACAAGAGTTTTCCTAGCCCCAGGTATCATTCCAGGCCTAAGCAAGCCTGCTTCTCTTAGTTACCTTTTAGGGTGCCTCCAGCCAGCTCCCCTGGTGGTGGGGCTGTATCACCAGGGCACCAGGGGCATGGTCCAGGTCCCTGGGGTCCCTCAACCTGGTGCCCATGCAATATCTACCCACTCTCCATCCCTGAGTTGTCCCACAGAATAAGCCAAGGCAGGGGGCAGGGAGAGGCCTCCACATTTTATTAGGGATACGGCAGGAGCAGAGGCTGGAAGCAGAGCAGCTGCATTTTTAACAACAGATAAATTAACCGCAGTTTGGGGTTGGGAAGTGAGGACTGGGCCAGGCATTTTAATATATATATATATATAAAAAAACCCCAAAATATAGACAAATGAACCCCAAAGATGTGGGGCAGGGGAGGGCAGCACCATCCAGACAGCAGGGAGGACCAGGGCGGACAGAGAGAGAAGGCAACTTGTCCCCCTCAGCCCCAAACTCCACCAGCACAGGGGCCTTGGCCTAGCCCGCAGGGGCTTCGGGCAGGGAATCAGCCAGGTTGGGTGGAGATGGCACGGCTGGCGGGCAAAAAAGCCCAGCACCACAAGATGGCTCAGCCTAGAGTAGAAGCTGGAGGCAGGGTGCAGTGGCCCTGGGCCTCCAACCTCTCTGAGGAAGAGCCTTACTCTGGGTGAGAGAAGGGACCAAGGGTGGGAGCTCTCCCTGAGCTGAGAACGGTTATCTCATCCACAGCAGCGGTGGGTGGTGGAGTGTGCCAGTGACCCCCTTCACCTCCTTATTCACCTGTCTCCTTGATCCTTCAGGGAGGAACCCCACTGACCCGAAGAGGGTAGGGCCTGAGTGGAGCCAGTCCAGTCTGTGGTCCCCAGCTCTAGCGAGGGACTGTTGTGTGGCACAGGCCTCAGCCCTGACTCCCACAGGAGGAGAGTGAGTCATAGAGCGAGTCACTGAGGGACTCTGAGGTCTCCAGTCCTGGGGCTCCCCCGCTGGCCACTCTGCCGTCCTCACCCATGTCCGATGTGCTGGGGGTGCGGCTACCCCCAAATGCTGGGCCTGGGGGCGTAGGGGATGGGCGACTGGGCTCCAGGCTCGCATTCCCATCCACAGGCAGGGCCTGGGAAAGGAAGGGAAGCGAGAGGGAAGCTCCTTTCCACGTCTGGGCCAGCCTGAGGCACTCACTCTGAGTGGGTGTTTCAGGGGAAGCAGACTGGAGGGATGTATGTCCTACCAAGGTCTGGAGAGGGACAGAAACCCTTTTCAAGAAGGGTGCATGAGAAGGGCAGCTGGGTGGGCTTCCAGAGGGGCAAGTGAGGGGGTGTTTCCTTAGCCCTCATCCCCAGTGCTGTGCCAAGACTGGAAAAGATACAGGGTGTATCTCATTGAAGAAACTAGTCTTCCCATGTCACTCCCTCTTGCCCCCCAGTCTTGTTCCTCACCCCTGCTGCAATTCTCACCATGGGGGTCCTAGGCAACCCCTCCAGTTGTCGGGGCGGGCAGAGGAAAGGGTCAGAGGTGCTGCCAGCTGCCCTCGCGTTGGGGAAAGTCCAGTTCTTGGCCAGCTGGACAGGAGGGGGAGGGCCTGGGTCTTCACAGGGATCTGTCCAGGAACAATGGGAAGGCAGATGTGGTAGGTGAGGGGTGCCTGGGACTCACCCCAGGGAGTGCCCAGGACATCCCCACCCACCTGTCTGGACACTCACCATCAGGGCAGGTCTTATGACCCCGGTGGCTGGGAGTTGTGGTGAGCAGTGCTGGGAAGGCCGGCATGCTGGGGTGCCGCCCGCTCACCAGCAGCTCCTCCACATCTGGCACCTCACGCTCCAGCGTGTGGGCACGGCGGGGGACTTTGGTAAGGGGTGGGGGCCGAGCTGGGGGTGCCCCAGGTGGGGGCTCCAACCGTGGTGGCTTGGTCTTGGGTAGATTCTTGCTGGGGGTCCCACTGCTGCCATGGTCTGGGGGTGGGAAGGTCCCAATGCCACTGTCCAGAGTTCGAGTCAAAGAGCCACAGGCTGGGGAGGGGAGGGTAATGTCAGGGAGGTGAGGCTGTAATCTTCTGCCTTCTTCCTTCAGCGTCCTGTCCCAGCCCAGGCCTCCCTCTCCTCCCCATGCAGGGCCTCTCAGACCAACAGGCTCAGTTCACAGGACCTGAACCGGGTTGTCTCTGTTGTCCTCCCTCCACATGCCCCAGGATTCGGGAGGAAGGCAGACCAGATAACCCTGTGGACAGGCTAGGCATTTACTTCTATGCAGCCCCAGTGCCCACGCAGTGCTTGGCACCAAGATGGCACTCAGGGTCTGGCACCTGCTACAATGTCAAGAAGTGGACAGGCAGGGAATGAGGGTGCAGGTCCCATCCTTGGCTGACCCTGCTGACCTGTGAAGTGTGAGGTGGGCACTGGCTCGGCCAGGCTGTCCTCTGAAGGGATTTCTTCCCGCCTCCCTGGCTCACTGCTTGGCTGTGGAGTACAGGCGACCTGAGTCCATCCCACCCTTTCCAGTCCCCTAAGCTTATGGTTCATGGGGCCTCTGGCATTGGGGTCCCCGGAGTATGGGTCTGATGGTTCTCAGTTTGCCCCACCCTCAGGAAGCCCTTGTGCCTGCACCCAAAGAATCCTGAATGCACCCAGCAGACTACATATGTTTCCTGGACCCAGGAAAGGGAAGCTTTTCAGGGAGTAAAAGACTTGCCAAGGCCAGAAAGCCAATCACTCTACCTAGCTCCTATCCCAAGAACATACCTTCCCAGGAGGTTTTCCACAACCCTGAAGAGGGCCCACCAGGCCATTTCGGGGCCCACAGGCTGGCCAGGGGTTCTTGGAGTCAGAGGACACTGGCTGGAAGTCTTCATACTCAGGCTTGGGCTCCCGCCAGCTTTTGGATGGCAGCTCCTTGCCATCCACCCTAAAAGCAACAGTGCAGAAGAAAGTGTGGGAGGCTTAGGGAGGGACTGAGCCCGCCAGACATTCCAGCCTCCTGGCCCCGACTAGCCCAGGGACTAGTGAGGCCCTAGGGAAAGGGACATGAGATGTCCCTGGTGGTTATCCCCACCAGCCTCTCCTATTACTGGGATAAAAACCTAGGGAAAATCCCAGTGTAACAGTGGGGCAGGGGAACATCCAAAGCTACCCAGGGTCAAGCCCACAGACCCCATGAAGAGTGTTTACAGATATGGGTAGACCTGGTCACATCCTGGCCCATGCACCCACACACCTGACTGGCTCCAGCGGAACTTCTGAGAATGCTTACTGTCCACACCACACCGTACCTGGGGCACAATCTCAGTGACTTTCTGCCTCATTGGGCCCAGATGCAACAACCCATGATGGGGTATGCCCTTTCTCTGAACTTACAGCTCATATTGCTGAGTCTGTGGTAGGTGTCAAAAGGACAGGAGTGGAGGCCCTCCTTGTTCTACAGGATAGAAAACCCCTGGGGCTAGAGACCTTCTCCAGCCCAGTCAGGACCCAACACCCACACTGAGTACTGTATACAAGGCATTTAGATGGGCCACTGTATCTGATATTACAGTCAAACGAGGAGAATGAACTGCTGACTTCAGTGGACATGGGTCTCAGCATATCTGACATCACAAAGTCAGCAAGTGGTGGGGCGGGCTACAAACCCCAGGCTTCCAATTTTAGCCCCCAGTCTTTCCTCTAGGCCAGGCTAATAACCCTCAGTCACTGGTGGTGTTGCACTTGACCTACTCTGACTCTGGGAAGCCTGAGTTCCCTAGAAAGGGGGTCTCAGCTCCAGATTCAGGTGTGCCAGCAGTAGGAAAAGTGCCTGCAGCCCACCATGCACTTGTCCAATGGGTCATAGCCCCTTACCTGTTTAGCAGCTGCTGCATGAAGGTGTCTGCACCTTGGTACATGCCAGCTAGCTGGCCCTGCACCTGCGGCCCTGGGGCTGGTCCCCCAGGCCGTGGCCGGGCCCTGCTGCTCAGGTAGGCCTTCTCCTCCTCCAGGGCACGGCGCAGGTCTTCGGCCTTAGCCATCAGTTTGGAGATGTTGAGGCTCTCGGCCTCCAGCTTCCGGGCTTCCATCTTGACCTCTTTCCGGAGCGGGGAGCCCCCGCTGGCCCCTTCCTTGCTCTTGGTGGCCTCTGTGCGGCGGTTCAGTGCCGGCAGCTTGCTTTTCTTAAGGCCGAACCAGCTGGCAATGCTGCTGGTGTTGCGGTGCTTGACCTCGGTGCCTGGCGCCCGCTCCTGGCCCTGGAGCCGCAGCACGTTCTCCTCAATGCCCTTCATCACCTTCTCCTCGATGGCAGAGTGTGGGGCTGGGCCTTCAGGGCCCTGGCTTGGGTCAGTGGGGCCAGTTGCTGGGGGTAAGGGCTGGACTATGGTGTTACCAGAGTCTACCCATGGTGGGCCCTTTCCCTTGTCAGGCTTGGGGGGCTCCTTGTTGGCTGGGGGGACTCCAGGCCGGGGCACCACCTTGGTGGGTGACTTGGAGGGCAGCTTTGTAGGGCTGCCATGGGGGCTCTTATTGGGCTTGCCCAGGCTAGGGGCTGAGGTTGGCACTTTGGCAGGGGTACGGGGTACCTGGGGGCACAGGGCCCCTGCCAGGCGGCTCTTGGCCAGCTCTACTTTGGTGAGGCAGCTCCTTGGTGAAATGGGCTCCAGGTCCACTCGGGCCCCCATGGAGTGAGAGGAGTAGACTCGGGCCCCAGGGTCTCCCAGGAGCCCGGGTTCCTGCTGCTTCAGGCTGCTTGTGCCTAAGGCCACTATACCTCGAAGTGCCCCTTTAGTTTCTGGATGCTCAAGGGGCCTGGAGGAGGGAGGTGCCGTATCTCCAGTGCTCTCCCCTGACTTCCCTGGTCCCCGGGCCTTCTCGGTGCCAGGCCTGGCTGGCACGCCATTCTTCTCTGTGCCTACAGGTCCTTCAGGGCCTGTCTTCAGTTTCCCTAGGGCTGCCAGTCTGTCCCGAAGGGGTGTGTAGCCAGGATCTCCAGGTCGTCGCCCTGCCCCCTGGCCAGATTTCTTAGATGAGTTGCCTGGAGTCCTGCGGCCGGGATAGGGGGACTCCGAGCCCACCTTGTCCAAACTTTTCTCCTGGGGGCTCCCATAGGGGCAGGATTCTGGGAGGCAAGGGCTGGGGGAGACGCCAGGGCTTCTAAGGACCGCAACGGCCCGTGGCACCTCCAGAGTCAGTTGTGGGTAGGTGGGCACCTGCAGTGGGGAGGGAGGGGGCTCCGGGGAAGGGCCCCTGAAGGTACTCCGGGAAAGGTCAAGGATGTTCTCATAACAGGGAGACATTACTGGCCCTGGGGACAGCGTGGTGGACAAAGCTGGCTGGGGGGGTCTGAGCTGTGCAGAGTCTGGGGTCGAGGAGCAGGGTGAAGGACTAGCAGGCAGGCCCTGTGCCCCTTCAGGGGACAGCTCTCCTCCCCCTAGGCCCCGGCGGGCCAGCAGTGGGGATGGGCTCCCATCTGAGCCACCATTCCGACAGGGGATTCGGGAGTTCCGGGGGAGTTGGGGGCTAAGTTGGGGGCCTCCTGGGCTAGGGACCTTCTCAGAGGCTGCAGGCAGCTTTAGGAACTTGAGACCTCTGGCTGGAGAGGGGAGAAGGGGCCCCTGGGCGTCTCCAGGAGAAGGGGGGCCAATTTGGAGCTTGCTTTTCACCTGAGATGAAGAGTGGGGGTGGCCAGGCTGTGAGCCCAGGGGGGCATCGCCTGCACCTATGAACATGCTGAGAAAGGGGAGAGGTCCCTGGCCTTCTGAGGTAGCACCAAAGCCTGGCCTGTGGGCCTCTGGGGCACCCCCACCCCAAGCTGACTTGGGGAGGCCTTTGGACTTGGACAGCTGGGGAGGTCCCTGATCTGGGGAGGATGGCTGCCTGGGGCCTAGGTGGTCCCCGCTGAGTGGGCCTGTAGCCCCCGCCAGGAAGGCCTGTAGATAAGACTCTGTGTCCTCAAGAAGCTGACCTAGGTTCAACTGTTTGTGGGCCAGGGCACTGAGTAGGGTGTCAGGGCTGGGGGCTTCATTAGGGTCGCCTGCCTCGTCTGAAGAGGAAGAGGAGCTGCTGCCTGGGGCACAGTGTGGGCCAGAACTGGTGCCCTGGGTCTGGGGGGGCCTCCTACTAGGGCCCCAGGGCCGTCCAGTACCCTCTTCCTCTCCTGGGCCCCCCAGGAGATGCTCCCAGTGTAGCAGACCTCCCAGGCTGCTGGGGCCTAGCAGCAGGTAGGGGGCCCAGGGTGAGGGTTCAGGCCGGGGTGGGCCACACAGCTCGCCATTGATGGGCTCTGGGGAGCCAGGAGCCTCGCCTGGAGGGTGCCAGGGGGTGGCCGGTGAGCACAGAAGTAAGGGGTCAGTCTCTTCCAGGGCTCTCAGCACCTCCAGAATCTGGGCTTTCTTCCGAAGGAATGGTGATAGGGCATCCAGCGCTGGGAGTGGGGCGGATGGGGGTCCTGGGCCTCCTGGCCGCAGCTGCTGTTCCCAACACACCTTGAGGGAGAAAGTGCACGAGGAGGAGGAAAATGCCCCTGTTCTAGGCCCAGGCCTTGAGCTGGGCATAAATGAAATGCTGGGAGCAGAGCTGGCCTGGTTTTATCTGTGCTCCCAAAAGGAACTGAGCTTCTGGATAAAGGTGGCTAAGAGTCCTCATGGGTTGCTAAGCCCTGGTCTCCCCAACTCTCCTTCCTGGCACACCTGGGACTGGGTGGGCGCCTACCTCCCCCTGCTGGTTGTCTCAGCTCCTCCCTCTGCTGTTTGGGTCAGCAGGTTGACCACCTACAGTTCTGGCCTCTTAAGTTTGCCCCAGAGGAGGGAGGTCTGTCCCTTTTTCAGGCCCCAGAAAGAATAGACATTCAACAAGGTGTATGACATGCAGTGCCTGCCTGCAAACTTAGGCTGCTACAGATCATCTGGCCAACCCTGCTGACCTGATCGCCCGCAGAAGGCAGGGGCTAGGGACAGCTCCTCACAGACCCTTCCCTGTTTTTCTAGCCCCTTCTTGGGCTCAGTATAGTGGTTAACTATATGGGCTCTGGAGCCATACTGTGAAGACTCAAGGCCTAGGTCTATCTAAGTGACAGTATTTGGCAAAATGTGATGGTAATTGTGTTTGTTGTTCTTGCTGTTGTGTGCAACACATAGAGATCCTACAGGACAGAGCAGAACTGTCCAATAGGGTTTCCAAGGCTGTAATCTTTATGGAAGCAGACTGCCGTATCTTTCTCCAATGGACCAGCTGGTGGTGGGTTCGAACTGACGACCTTTTGGTTAGCAGCTGAACACTTAACCACTAAACCACAAGGGCTCCTTTGTGCTTAACTTCGTAATAGAAGACCATGAGATCTAAGGGGTTCAGCACAATGCCAGGCACAGAGTAAGGGCTCAGCAAATGTTAGCTGGTATTCTTACTGCACTACTGATGCATCTGCTCACAGGGCAGGAGTTGGGGTGGGGATGTTTTTCTTGGTATGAGGCTGATAGCTGAGGGTTCACCCCTCCAGCCTAGACAAGCATCTGTGTACCAGTAGGAGAGGAGACCCTTCCCCTGGGACTCATTAGGAAACAGCAGTGAGTACAGACTGACTAGCTCCTAGCTGGCAAAGTCACAGACCATGGCACCCAGCCCTCCTACCTCTCTCTGCCCAGTACAGTGCCCCACAGGCTGTGAGATGACTGGTCCCTCGGTGGAGTTCAGGGAGGGGGAGGCTGGTGGCTCTGATGGTGGCTGGAGTGGGGTGAGCGGGATCTGCAGAGTAAGAGATAGAGTTAGCACAGCTTCTGTCTGGCTCCTGGGCCCTGCTCCGTCACAAAGCCAGGCCTTTCCATCCATGTCTGTCCTTCAGGGATATCTTCTGGCACAAGGCATGGCTCTTGCAGTCTCTATCAACTCATAAGAGGAGCCTCAGGAGACCATGGCACGAGTAGATATGAAGACAGTGTAAGGTCCAGGTAGCAGGACAGTGAGACAGTCAGGGGGCTTTGGACAAAGAGAAACCCCTGGGCCTTGGGGACAGTGAGCAGGTCCCACCCCAGGCGCCCATCTCACTCACCGTGGCACCTCTTCCTCTATTATGTGGGGGGGCTAATGCAAAGGCAAGGAGCCTTAGTGGTGTAACAGTTAAGCATTCGGCTGCTAACTAAAAGGCTGGCGGTTCAAACCCTCCCAGAGGCTCTACTAAAAGAGACCTATCTGCTTCTGTAAAGATTATAGCCAAGAAAAATTTATAGAGCAGTTCTACTCTGTCACATGGGGTCACCAGGAGTCAGAAATGACTCAATGGCATCAAACAACAATGCAAAAATCCTTCTTGTTCTGAGCACTTTGGTTCCAGGGTTACAGTGTAGCTGCAACTGACAGCGTAACCCCAGGTGACCCCTTAACTCAGACCAGGAATCATTCTCAGTAGACTCCTGCTCCTCCCAGGTTAGGCAGGTGCTGGGGCTGGAAGCAAGAGGCATTTGCTGCCAGGTCTTGGAAGAGTCAGGGAGAAAGCAGGAGTTATCATCTCTGTCTCCCTCAACTGGTCTCACGTGAAACATCTACTCTGAGGATTACGGGCCACTCTTCTCCCTCAGCCTCTGAGAATGTAATTTCCTTCACGCAGGCATTTGGCTAGAGATGAGTCAGCTTTAACTCTTCCCTCTCCCTCACTGTCCACACCCATTAAAGCCTGTCTCAGAGGTGTTTCTCTCGCTGCTCTGTCACTCTATAGCCTGTCCCTTCAGCCTAGACCCTCTCTCACTTCTGGTGCAGATGCTGCTTGGAACCTCAACAAGTCTCCCCGACCAGGGTCGGTGGTCCCTTCACTCTCCCGTGCACATGGCAGCCAAAAGCACCTGTGTGCTCGAAAGCCTCCCTGCCTGTGTACTGCCCTTGGAGACCAGTCTGAACTCCTCCACTGGCACTCCTGGCCCCACTGGCTCTTCTCCTGATTCCACTCTCATTCCTTTCATGCAGCCTCTGCTCCAGCCACACTGGACAGCTTGCTGTTCCCTAAGCTTTCCCACCTTGGGATCTCTGCCTATGCTCCTCCCACCGGGAATCCATTTGCCTCCACTTTTAAAAAAATATTCCCTCCTTCTAGGCCCAGGTCCAATATCATTTCTTTCAATGAACCTTCCTGAATCCTTTCCTGGACTACTGGGCAGCACTTACCATACTCTGCTTTGTTGCATGGTCTATAGACCCATCTTAGTTCTCAGCAGCCCTAGCCTTCAGGATTACAGTCACACTGCACAGGCCACAGCCCTTAGACAGAACCTTGCGATTCAGTCTAATTCCACCTGTGTTTTCAAAGGCACTGCTCACAGTAAGAACTTAATTAGCATTTGCTCAATGGAGCTTCCATCCTAGCTAAGCACAAATTGGGAATAACATTAAAAATGATAAATAGCTGTCATTTATTGACTATCTACTATGTGCCAAGCACTATAGATTATCTCATTTAATCTGCAAGACAACCTGCAATATAGGTATCTTTATCCCCACTTATAAGGAAAAAAGTGTGGTTTATCAAAAGTGCCCAAGGTCACACAGCTAAGGAGCAGCTAAGTCAGGGATCCAACCCAAGTTTATCTGAGGCCAAGGTTCATACTCTTTCTATTATGTCATGTTACCTCTGGGGAAGATAAATCCATCCTCTAAAAGCCCAAAAGGTCCCAGAATTTATTTACGTAAAACATAAATGAGTTAAGGATTATCTACACCTCTGTTATCATGGGTCAGAGAAGGCCATGGATGGGGTAAGCTCAGTTGCAGGTGACATGGGGTGGGCCTCTGGGGATTCCAGGGTGAACGTGGCAACAACTGGACCTGGAGCCAGGAAAGCTGCAGTCACTGTTGCCGGCTCACACCCAGCTCTGCAATGGGACTTGAGAAAGGCTGAGGCGATGAGGGGCTTTAATTGTTGAGAGGACCAGGCTTCCCAGTGACTGAGGGGGTTTTGCAGTCAGATAGTCACACACATACACACACACACACACACACACAGAGAAGGTGCTTCTCTTCTTGTTACAGAGATGACCTCAGAAAGAACTTGCTGTTTACCCTAGGTACGTGGAGCTGCTCCTGGTCCCCCCATTCCCATGTCTCACCCTATCCTTAGAGATTCCTGACAGCGTAACCCCAGGTGACCCCTTAACTCAGACCAGGAGTCATTTTCAGTAGACTCCTGCTCCTCCCAGGTTAGGCAGGTGCTGGGGCTGGAAGCAGAGACCAGTGTCTGAGACAAGCCAGGCCTGTGTGCTTGTGGGTTAGTATATGCAACTGTGCACACAGAGTTACGGTGTCCTGACCTCTCCGTGACACCAAACACTGGGCTGCCTTACACTTGGCCCACCCCTTGGCCCTGGCCAAGAAGCTGTAATGTCAGTGGCCAGAGGGGCCCTTTGGGAACTTGAAGTCATTGCATTTCCAGCCTCCACCCATCTCCTCAGACAGGACAGGAACAAGCATGATCTTCTCTGTCAACAAGAAGGGGTATCATCCAGCTGGGTGAGAAGCACTTGGGAGATGGGAGAAAGGCAAGCTTGAGGGGACACAGGTAGATTTTGCCCCATCCGAGGCTCAAATGTAGCAGGCTAGGCCAGTCTTCCCTGACAGTCATAGCCCCCAAAACAGAAGACGGATGGCTGATGGTCTTCTTCTGCAGGTGCTTGTGGGAAAAGAGGGTGATGATGAGGATGGGGCTGGAGGGTGAAGAGGAAGAAAGGAAAAAGCACAAGCACTCACCTGAGGGAGGGAGCCTGCTGTGAGCTGGAGTTTCTGCTGAAACAGAGTGCTCAGCATCTGGTTCTGCCGCTCCAGGTCAAACACCCTCTTCTTCAGCTTGATGCACTCCTCCCGGAGGTCCTGCCCCGCCCAGGAGGAGGCGGAAGAGGTGCAGAGGATCACAGGAAGGGAGAAAGGGGTATGAGCGCAGGCCTTACACAGTAGAGGGTACATACTCTGCCCAGAGGCCCCAGCACTCCTGCTGGGTCTGCCCTCCTCCCACATCCTCCCATGAAGTATTGAGCCTGTCTAAGTTTGTAAGTAACTCTGGTAGCATAGTGCCTAAGGCACTTGACTGCTCACCAGAAGGCTGGTGGCTCAAACCCACCAGCCACTCCTCGGAAGGAAGGTTGGGCAATCCTACTTCCGTAGTGATACTGCCTCGGAAACCCAAGGAGGGGTCGCTATGAGTCGGGGCCGACTCGATGGCAAACAACAACAACAACAAGTTTGTAAGTACAGCATCTTCTGGATCAGATGGTGAATTCCTTAAATTTACTACACCTGCTGGGAGGTAGAAGCTATCTCCTCTATACCTTTCCCATCGCTGGAGCCAATCCTTGTGCCTCCTTAGAAGCCACACATCAAAGAAAGGCCCATATAGGGCAGAGGAAGGTCTGGGAGTCAGAGAGGTCTATGTATCAAAGAGTTAGTGTTGAGGTATCATCTTATGCTCACAGTATCATTGTTGCTTTCAGGGTCTTTACAACCTGGTGAAACCAGCTGGGGTAAACCAGGGTAAACAGAAGGATTCAAGCCCCAATCAAAGCTGCATAGCTCAAAGAGACCTGGCCTCACCTAGTCCTATCCCTGCCTCCAGATAGAACAGTATGGGCCTGCCCAAGGCAGGGAAGGGAGGCAAAGAGGTCATCTCCACACTTTTTCCTCTAGCCTCTATCTAAGGCTTAGCTGAGCAGGCTCAGGGCCCCAGAAAGGACCTCACCTGTCCCCACAGGGCATCTTGGCTTGGGGGAGAGAATGTCTCCTAAGACTACTCACCTTCTGGTTCAGCAGTGCCTGCACCACATGGTTGGCGACCTGGGGACAGAAAGCCCAAGGTGGAGCTGTTAGCTAGGCTGGACTTGGCCTGTAGCAAACAAACTGTGCCCCTCCACCAGCACCAGCCCCACTACAGACCTCGTCCAGACAGCGCTCATAAGTTTCTCGCTGATTCTCGTTGGCCTGGGCAAGGGCTGAGTTCTCTGCCTGCAGGTGGAAGGGAGGAAAAGGGCAAAGGGAGGTTTTGGGGATCATTTTTTCCCTCAAGGTAACTTCTTTTTGGGGAAGGGGTGACAAGGAGTCCATAGCTACAGCCCTGTTCCAGCTCTTGGCTCTGGTCAGGTTCTGACATGGGGAGGTTACACAGATGGGCCATGGGCATCAAGACAGCAGAGCTCAGGTGAGTTGGTTTTCTGTAAACCCTGACTGAAACTGGGGAGGCTGGAGGGAGTCCAGGAGGAAATGAGGTGGGATGTGCCGAGAGTAACCCTTATTTCCTGCAGGGTGGACAGAGAGGGCTGGAGGGAGCAGGGCAAAGCCTGAAGAACAAGGGGTTTAAGCCGACTTGATGGCAACAGGTTTGGTCCACTTGCACATGTTGCATCGCAGATCCCAGATACTGGGCTAGAAGAGACACACCTGAACAGTCAGCTGGGACTGGCCCTCAAACTGGTCTGTTAAAACCCTTAAGGGCGAGGGCCTGGTGTGAAGATTTGTTTTCTGTCCCTCCACTCTTAAGCCCCGAGTCACCCAACCTTTTCCTCCTGTGGCTTCTGTGACTCTCCTCCAGAGCCAGCAGGGGCAGGAAAAGTGGAAAGAAGAGGGTAAAGACGGAAAGATTCAGAGGCCAGGGCATCACCATCCCTGTGCATGCCTCTTGACCCTAAAACGGCACCGGGGCTGGACCACTAAGGGCAAGGAAAGGGCTGTTAATGGAACATCAGCTCTGCTCCAGCTGGCAAAGGGGGCTGCGAGGAAGGCCCACTGCACTCGCAACAACCCAAGGAAACCTCAGAGGAAGGGGCAGTCCTGCCTCCTCCAAGGCAGTGCTCCACCCTGCCCCATATCCCACCTCCAGCTCCCGCAGTCGGTGCAGAAGCTCCTGGCAGGTGCCTGGCTCCATGCTGCCATCACCACCATCTCCTGGCCTTGGGTTTCCAGGTCCCCCAGCCGGCTGGTCCATGGTCTCTGACATCAGGTCCTGGAGCAAGTGAGAAAAGTCCAGGCGGGCTACTCTAGGGAATGAGGAGGAGGTGAGCGGAGGAGTTGGGGGACAAAGATGGAACTCCTCAGTATTCTGAGTTTAGATCAGTGTGACCTGTGTGCTACATACAATGTAACAACTCAGTGTCAGCTGGGAATCTCCGTGGGAAAGATACACAGAGCTCTTCTCATGTGCAGAACAGAGACCATTGTTTTATAAACTGCTACATTTGTACTTGGAGCACCTGGGTGGTACAAACGGTTAATGCACTTGGCTGCTAACTGAAAGGTTGGAAGTTCAAGTCTACCCAGAGGCATCTTGGAAGAAAGGCCTGGTAATCTACTACTGAAAAACTATGGAGCACAGTTCTACCCTAACGCTCGTGGGGCTGCCATGAGTCGGAGTTGACATGATGGGAACTGGTTTGGTAGACCTGCACATGTCCTATCACAGATCACACATATTGGGCTCAGAGAGGAGAGACCTGGGGTTGGCCTCAAACTGGAAAGTCAGTCAAACTCCCTTTATCTCAGTTTTCCCCTCTATAAAATAACAACAATGTCACTTAATCTCACTCAGTGGTGGCAAACAAAGATGGTTGTTGTTGTTGTTGTTGTTGTTGTTGTTACGTGCCATCAAGTTGGACCCGACTCATCACGACCCCTCCTTGGGTTTCCAAAGCAGTATCACTACGGAAGTAGATTGCCCAACCTTCCTTCCAAGGAGTGGCTGGTGGGTTTGAACCACCAGCCTTCTGGTTAGCAGTCAAGTGCCTTAGGTACTAGGCTACCAGAGCTCCTATTATTACTAGTAATAGTAACAATAATAATTTTTTAAATTCTTGAAACTAATTTAATAGGTAAACAACTAGGATTTTGTCCTGATGCTCAGTGGGCTCCCCTGTCTGGGGTGGGGACACACGTAGGTAGTATGTAGACAAATCCCTGGCTTGTTGACAAAGGCTCAGCCTGGCTGTGCCTACCATGAACTCGGTGAAGACATGGAAACCTGCTCATTGCTCATTCATTCACTTGGTCAACAAACCGATCCTCACTTTCCTGACTCCGAGAAATTGGTAAAATTCTTCCTTTCTTACAGAGTTTTTGTGAGAGTGTCAAATATGACCACAGACGGGAAAGCACTACAGAGGTGCTGCTATTTCTCAGCAATCTGTGGAGACGAGACCTGAGGCTGGGAACCAGTGACTTGCGTTCTGGCCCTGGCTCTGTTGCTCACTAGCTATACAACCTAGGGTGAGGCCCTTCTGCTCCCTGGCCTCAGTCTCCCTCTGGATACAGAGGGAGGGGGCCTGCATGCCTCTAAGGCTCCTCCTTTCCAGCTCCAGCTGCTCCAGACACCCCCACCCTGAGGCGAATGAAGGCCCACATGAACCAGAACCAGCCTCTTTGTGCGGCTGTTCCTTCTGCGAGGCTCTCCTGACCCTCCCCTTTCCACTGGGCTAGCTCCCGTTCAGTCTTCAGGGCTCCTGCTCCAAGTCTGGGGTAAGTGCCTCTCCTGCTTGGTTCTGTAACCATCTCCCCCACAAGACTGTCAACTCTGTGAGGACTGGGACACTATTCACTCCACTATCCGCACTCCCAGTTCCTGGTATGATACCTGGTAGGAGTGTAAGAGACAGACTGATTGACAACTAGACAGACTAGTTTGAGAGACTAATCCCCAAACACACAGGATTCTGACCTATCATGTGACCTCCCCCTGACACGCACCAAACTGTTGCCTTAGTTAATGACGTAATCTGACTAGTTTTTTATCTTCCATTTGAGTTTTAACTTTTCTGCTAGAGTCAAGTGCTGATTTCCTTTTGCACAAGTATTGTGGAGGTTCCCAGAAGATGGGAAACCCTCCTTACTGTAAAAGGGTGGAAGTCCCCAGTCTACCACTGACTACTCCCTTCTCTGCCCCACTGAAGTCTTCACACTAAAGGGCTTAGAGCTTTGGGACCAAGGAAGAGGGATCCCTCAGCAGCTCACCAACCCAGGGCACTGAACATTCCCTACTCTCTCCTCCACAGTGAGGCCCAAGGGATGCCTCTCCAGGCCTCTGCCCTCCTCCTTTGATTCCCACCATTTGCATATAGGCCCCAAAGCCTCTTACCTGTCTGCCTTCTCACCAGGCTGGTACTCTCACTTTTGCAGCCAGAATGGTCACCTTGCCTGTGAAGAAACAGAAGGTGACTATTACAGTCACACATCCCTCAAAACATGTGGTGAGCTCCTGCTGCATGCCAGGCACTAGGATACAGGGGGCAAGAGGACAGACAAGGGCACTGAGGGGCAAGAGGACAGACAAGGTGGCAGGCAAGCAGAGACATGAGTAAAGTCTGGATGATACCCTGGAGTGAGAAATGCACTCCAGGCCGAGGAAAACAGCCAGTACAAAGGGCCCCAGCGCTTGGCCAGGAATCACTCAGATGATGGATGACAACAAACAGCAACACATGGGGCTTTGTGGCCCTTCCACAAACATACAGTGTCTTCTTTAATCCTCCCAACCACAAGGGAGTTAAATGAAACTGAGGAACAGGAAGTCACGCTCACATATACTGAGTGTATCCTGTGTGTAAACCAGTGTGTTGCCACTTTCTCGTGCATCATCACGTGTAATTCTCCTAAAGACCTTGCAGGAGGGAGGTACCAGCAGCACCAAAAACTCATTAGACAGTTCCTGTTCTGGTTTTCTGTCCTCTTCCTACACTACAAGGCCTTGCTGCACACATACAAGCTGTACTACAAAGTGCTTCCATCTCGTGAGCTCCCTACAGCTTCGAGGCTTTCTGCAGGCAATGCCTGCCACAGACTCCTCTCCAAGCTTTGCACTGAGTAGTCTGGGGTCAGAATCCCATCGCTACAATTGATACGGGCAATTTACCAACCTCTTGGAATCTGTTTCCTCACCTGTAAAATGAGGGTAAGAATCCTCTGCCTGGCCTATAAAACACACCCCTTAGCAAATTTAAAGGAACAGAAATCATACAAAGTACACTCTCAAGCCATGCTGGAAATCAGACTAGAAATCAACATAAGAGAGCCAGAAAATCCCAAAATATTTGGAGATTAAACAACATAATTCTAATTTACACTGAGGTTACAGAAGTCACCTTGAGAGAAAATGTATTTTGAACTAAATGAAAATGAAAATACAACTTACCAAAATTTGTGAGATGCCATGAAAGCAAAGATTAGCTAAAAATTTATAGCATTGAATGCGTATTTGAGAGTATTAGCCCAGAGAGCTGTTCGAGGATTAAATGAGTTAACACAAGTGGAGTGTCTGGCCAGGACTCGGTAAATGGAGGCTTTTCATATTATCACATCCTGACATGAGTTGTACAGTGCAAAGCCCTGGGGTTGCCATGGAGCCTGTCGCTTACCCCATCCGTTCATACAGGTGGATCTGAGTCCCAGTCCCTCGCCCTGGGGGTCTTGACTGTATGGGTACCTGACGTTCTCAGAAAGCACTGTCCTGATCCTCCCTTCCCTCAGTGGCCTCCTCCTCCCCAGTCCACTCCTTGCCAGCTCTCCAGCCCCAGGGCCAGCTCAGCTTTCACTCTTCTCAGCCTGATACTCTAGACAGAGAAAGTGGCTGATTTTTTTTTTTTAATTTTCTTTATTTTGTTGTTGCTGAGAATATACTCAGCAAAACATAGACCAATTCAACAGCCTCTACGTGTACCATCTAGTGACACTGATTACATTCTTCCAGTTGTGCAAACACTTCACATTCCTTTTCTGAGTTGTTCCTCCTCCATTAACATTAATTCACTGCCCCCTAAGGTGCCCATCTTTCAAGTTGCTGTTGTCAATTTGATCCCATAAAGATAGTTCTTAAAAGAGCATAAAACTACAGGCAGACATTTTTTACCAAGTAAGCTAAACTACCATTTGGTTTTAAGATGACTTTAGAGGATATTTTCGATTTAAGGTTTAAAGATTATGTCAGGGCAATAGGTTTAGGGGTTCATCCAACCTTTATGGCTGCAGAAAATCTGGATTCCATGAGAATTTCAAATTCTGTTCTGCTTTTCCCCCCTTTGGATCGGATTCTTCTATGGAATCTTTGATCAAAATGTTCAGATATGGTAGCTGGGCACCATCCAGTTCTGGTCTCATGGCAAAGGAGGCAGTTGTTCATGGAGGCAATTAGCCACACATTCCACTTCCTTCTATTCTTGACTCTCCTTCTTCCCCTGTCATTCCAGGTGAATAGAGACCAACTGTTGTGCTTTGGATGGCCACTTACAAACTTTTAAGATCCCAGGCATTATATAACCAACTAGGAGACAGAACCAAGGACTAAACATGTTATTAGGGCAATTAGGGGGGATGTCCCATGAAACCATGACCCTAAACCTCCAAACCAATAACCAAATCCCATGAGGTTTGTGGCTGCACATAAGCAGCTTCAGTGGCTACTCTTTTTTTGGGGGGTGGGGTGGGGTGGCGTGTCATTGTTATAAATATATCTATCACACGAGTTTTGTGGCTATATGCTTTGAGGGCATGGTTGTTTAAGTAGTTTAAGGAGAAAATACTTCTTTCTTGAGTGTGTTTGTGTGGACAGTGGGAAGGTGACTCTTAAAAACATTTAGAGGTAATGGAAAATTGTAATGCTTATATTTAATACTCTGTAACAATCTAAAGTCCTTTGTTATTTCAATACTATAAAAATGCATCATACATAATAACTTGGTTTGCTCATGACATTATCATGCTTGATATATTTAGAAATGTACAGGTCTGGAAAGAAATGAAAATAATTCAGGAAATCGTCTCCTCCCCACACACAAATAGGGGTTAAAACCACAAAAGCCCTAGGGGAGAAAAGTGGTAGGGGTTCTGCATCATTCAACTTGTTCCACACCTACCCTATAACTCTAGTCTGTGGATCATCATCCTCTCACCCAGCTAGAAAACATCTACTGCTCCATGACAGGCCCCAGCTTGTATGCTCCCTAACCATTTAGCACTAGCTTTTTCCTCAATCCCCTCACCCTTTATTTCCTTGATTGAAATGGCCTGGGAAGAGGGATTTGGGGGCAGGATGTATGGAGGGTAAGAAAAAAAAGTTAGGAGGGTGAAGGAAGGGAATGAGACGAGGAGGGTAGTATCAAAGGACCAGAAAAGGACAAACATAAAGCCTAAGTTTTTAACAAAAATCAAAGGGTAGGAGTTTAGGCAAATATCTTTTCTTTAAAAAAAAAAAAAGTATCAGGGTTAGGATCAAGGCCCAGATTATGAAGGACTGGTTATAGATTTTATATATATATGAGGTGATTCTGCATGTACTGAGGAGGGAAAAGACCCAACACCTCCCCATAAAACCAACCTCCAATCTGAGCCTAATTAGGAATTTGGGCCTTCTGAGTGGGTTTGCTGCCTCGATTATCATGGGAAAATCCAGGTCAGCTCCCCAGTGTCTCTCCCTGCTGGGGTCACTGCCCCCCCCCCAAGGGCCAGGTGCTCTCCTCCTTCCTCAAGGCCCACAACTCCTTCAGCTCATAGCCTCTGTGCTCAGCTGACCGGGGGGCCCTTTGACCTGGGGCCAAAGTCTGAGCCCCTGTGGCTTCTATAGCATGAGGGCCCAAGTTCCCTTGTAAACTAGGGGTGACCTTGCAATTTATAAGCCAGGCAAGGGGCACAATTGTGTTGCACATCTTATATATGCCAATTAGGCCTAGTGAAGGCTCAAGAAATGTTGTCTTAAAGGAAGGCTGTGACTCAGCCCTACTTTGGGGGAACTGCTTTTTGCCCTCAAGCCAAGGAGGTATGGGCCCACCCAGGATGGGAGGGGGGGAGGCTTCTTTGCATCTGAGGGCTACCACAAGCAGAGAGGGAAGGCAACCATGAGCCCAGGTTGTTGAGGCCTCACAGGGAAGAGGCCTGCATTTAAATTTGGTGTTGGGGATAAGTGCATGGCTTTGTGGATCAGACCAGAGTTTGAGTTCCAGATTTCCATGGTGAAAAGAAAACTTCCTGATTTTTTTACCCTAGGGAATACCCAGATCTAGAGAGACACTACCACCTCCAGTTCCCAGTGTGAGCCTAATTAGGAATTTGGGCCTTCTGAGGCTGGGTTTTCTGCCTCAATCTCATGGGAAAACCTGGTCAGCTCCCTAGTCTCTCTCTCTGCTGGGAGTCAGTGGGCCCTGCTTCTCCCCAGTGACCATGTGCCTTCCTCCCCCTCTAGGCCCCATAACTCTTTCTACTCACAGCCTCTGTGTTCAGCCGACCTGAGGCCCAGGAAAACCCCAGACCTGGGTTTTTCAGGATGGTCTTGGTTTCAAACATTCTTCTGGTGGTCTTACAACACAGCCCTATTGTGTAGGGATGGAGCCATAGAGTGTGGGAGCTCTAACTTGAACTGCAGGTTTCTCCCGCCAGAACAGGCAGCCCCTCCCCTACAAAGGCCTGATTCAGAGGGAGGTGACCTCAGTGCGAGGGGAGGGACAAAGGAAGGGAGGAAGAGCAGAGCCCTCCCTGGCCCAGCCTTCAGCTGAGGGGACAGGGGGCAGCTGATGAACAGCCAGGACAAGGAAGGGAGAAACTGCCACTCAGGAGTCTCTGAGTAACCTGTGGGCGTGGCTGGTTGACCCCAATTGCTGTAATTTGAATGACCATTCTCTCCTCAGGATAGTCAGTCACCTGGGGTCCCAGCTCCCCCTTCTCCTTCAAAGCCAGGAGAGGACAGGGATCTGACAGTCCTGGATTTCAGTCAGTCAGCCCTTGGGAGCAAGGCTTGTGGCCCCCACTACCTCCTCATCCAGGGCACAGGCAAGGCCCTTCCCTGAACTCAGACTACAGGCTTGGGAGGAAGGGGTGGGGGCTGTGGGGACAGACAGCAAACAGAGCCAGAGAGGTGGCAGCAAGCCTGCACCCCCTCCCCCCACCCCAGCTCTTAGGCAAGGCCTTCTGGCCCCTGATGAGCCCCTCACTCACCAGCTGTTCCCCCCAGAGTCCTCTAGGGACAGAAGCCAGGAACCAGGAGCGGGGAGGAGTGGGCAGCTGTGGGGAGGCAGAGATGAGAAGCTCACTTTAATCACAGAATCATCCTAACACCAACAGTTTCCCCTCCTCCACTCTCCCCCAGCTGCGTTCTGGAATCTCTTTTACCAGTCTCAGCCCATCACACCCAAAACAGATTCCACTTGTAAACT